AATTCGAGTAGTGGGCTGCAATTGGCTCTTTGGAATGTTGAGGGAGAAGCCATGATGACGAAGGCAGCGACACACCACCCCTAGGTCTCGAGAGGCCCGGGCCGGGGAAGGGGAGAGCACCAGGATATTGTCCAAGTAGCAGTGGAGCCGTACCGGATGTTGACGTAGGTGGGCTGCCACCGCTGCCAGGAGCTTCGTAAAGTTTCTGGGGGCAGAGGAGAGGGCGAAGGGCATTGCCTTGTATTGGAAATGCCTGTTGTTGTAGGCAAAGCAGAGGTAACGATGATGGGACCGTCGTATGGGCACGTGGAGGTACGCTTCTTTCAAATCGATAGACGTCATCCAGTCCGATGGTCGAATGGAAGCCAGAATCGAGCGGAGGGACTCCATTTTGAACTGATGGTAGATGATAAATTCGTTCAGCCTCTTGAGGTCTAATATGCCCCTGTGACCCCCCGACGCTTTGGGAACCAGGAAAAATATGAAGTAGAAGCCGGTCCCGCGATGTTGGGGGGGGACCGGTTCTATGGCCTGAATTTGGAGCAGGTGATGGATCTCTGCCTCCATTAATTGACGCTTGGCTAAATTGGATGAAAGAGGGCATTGGACAAAGTGAGAGGGGGGACGGGAACGGAACTCCAGGGTAAGACCTAGACGGATCGTCTGGAGCATCCAGACGTCCGTTGTCGAAATCTCCCACTGGGAAAGAAAATGAGTCAGACGGCCGCCAATGGGAAGGTGGGTGTAGTCATTTTCCTCTTCTAAAGGCACGGGAGCCCGTACCTCGGAAGGGCCGTTTGGGTGCCGGAGCCTTGCGTCCACGGTCTCTGAAGGAAGGTCTATCGAAAGAGCGGTTGAACCCTTGAGAGTAGGACCTGGAAGAGAAGGACCCTGAAGGTCTGGCGTCGGTCCGAAAGGGCTGCCTGGTGGAGTAAAACGAAGGTTTTCAATCTGTTCTTTTGTAAGAGGATGGCATGACCTTCCGCTTATCCTTGTCCTCCACAAGGATGGGGTCCAAAGCGTCTCCAAAGAGACGGGAACCTTTGTATGGAGTTGAGGCGAGGCGCCATCTAGACTTTGCATCAGCTCTCCAATTTTTAAGCCACAATAAACGGCGAGATATAACGGATGACACCAGGGCGCGCGAAGCAAACTTCGCGGCATTAAGCGAAGCGTCCGCCGTATATTCAGTAGCCGCCACCAGTTTGTTGACCTCTTGGCGGAGGCGTGAATCTTCAGGAGGGAGGCGCTCCTGAAGTTGGCGGAGCCAGATTAGGGATGCACGGCTGAAGAAGGAAGCCGAGGTGGTGGCCCTAACTGCCCAGGCGGCCGCATTGTGTGTACGACGAAAGGTAAACTCAGCTTTCCGATCTTCCGAGCGCAACCCGTCGGCGACGTCGTTGGAGATTACCGAGGAAGCAGTCAGATTGGCTACTGGGGCGTCTACAGTTGGCAACTGAAGAAGTTCCTGGAGACTAGGTGCCGAACAGTAAAGTTTTTTGTCTAGACCTGATGGGGCAGGTAAGGAGGAGGGTGTGGACCAGGAGCGTTTGACCACCTCAGAGAAAAGCTGTGGGCACGGAATGAAGTCCGCTTCCGGCTTGGGCGCCGTGAACAAGGCCTCATGTTGTTGAGAAGGACCAGGCTGATCAACCTGTGGGGTCGGATCTGCCATTTTCGTGGTCAATTTGGCCTTGTGTAGAAGGGATTTAAATAACGAGGGCCTGAAGAGCCCAGAAAAAGCCGGCTTTTCAGGTGGCATATCAGCATCATCGGATAAGTCCATATCCAATAGGTTGGCCTCTTCCTCCTCCTAAGACGACTCCCCGCCGTATCCATAGTCTGGATGAGAATTGGACATGTGTGTCATGGCGGGATACTGGATAGGGACCGGCTGCGAGGCCCGGGCCAGAGGCGGCGGAGGAGGATATCGTGGTTGAGGCCAAGCAGCATATGGCGCTGAATGTTGAGAGCTTGCTGCCAGAGTGCGGGTAACAGTCTCAGATATGATCTGTTGAATGTCATAAGAAAAGGGCGGTGGGGCCGGCTCCGTGGCACGCAATCCCGCAGCCGTGGGAGTAAAAGTCGCCTCTGGCTGAGACCGCCGAGGATGGGAGGTGTTGCACGAGAGGTCCACCGGTCCCATGCAGTGGGTCGGAATTGCCTCAGGGAAACATTCCATGTCAGGCTGTCGATACAAAGGCTGTAGTGGCAGTTGATCAGCCTGATGGATGGGCTGAACACTAGCTTCAGCCACAGGCGATAGTGGGACTGGTAAGTGTGAGGACGAAGCCTGATTGGACTGGTTGCGTGCTCTCTCAAATTGTCGTTCCAGAGCCTTGTGCCTCCTGGAAGCGTCCTTGTCTGCAGCGGACGAAGATTTGGCCTTTTTGGAATTTGGAGCACCAGATGAAGATGATGGATGCGAAGAACATTTGCGGGACTTTTTACGCTGCCTGTTCTGCTCCAGGTGACGTTCAGGGGAACTATGGATGTCCTCCAGTTCGGATGAGAGATCACGTTCCGCCATATTCGAGCAGGAGTTGGTATCACCGAAAAGAATGTCTGTATTATTTTTCTTTTTTTATTTATTTATTAATTAATTTTTATAAGCAAATATGAATATTAATTTAATTAAGTATGTATGTATATGTATGTATGTGTATGTGTATGTATATATATATATATATGTATGTATGTATATATATATATACATATATATACATATATATACATATATATACATATATATACATATACATATACATATACACATACACATACACATACACATACACATACACATACACATACACATACACATACACATATACATATATATATATATATATATAAAAACAGGTATCAACTGAGGATCAGACAGTAGTGGGAGGACAGAACAAAAAAACAGCAGGTAAGTCCAGAAGAAGAAGAGGGGGGGGCACTGGAAATCCAACAGATTGCTCCATGGAGGCAAGCTATTGAGGCCTGAAATTGCCAGCAGAAATGAAGTTCGGCTTCTAGCAGTCAATTGCGCAGGCGCGAAAACAGTTGCTGGGCAGAAAATGGCAGCCGTTGAATCCACTTGCCCCTAGGACGAAAGGGAATGGCGCCAGGCGAGGCTGCAGACAAATGCTAATGGGCTTGCCAGGAAGACCCGTCCTCCGCGTCTCCCTTGAAGTTAGAGGCGAACAGCCAGGCAGGGGGGGTCTTGGATGTGTGCTTGTCAGGAGAGCCGGCAAATTAAGCGTGAGCTGTCACTAAGCGCAACTCCCAGCGCTGAGGCGGCGAAAATGGCGCGCAACTGTCAGAGTCTTCAAGCGCCACCGCCTAAACACCAGAGGAATGCGAAAAACTGCAAATATACGGGAAAAAGCAGCAGAAGCCTCAAAAGCGCTCCCAGCGCTGCGTAGAACAAGCGGGACAGGAAGGAAACCACTGCGACTTCAAAGGGGCACTCCGGCGATCGAAGGCACGGCAGGAGGAGGCTGCGGTGATGTCCCTGAGCTAGTCGAGCGTGCGATCACTCAGAAGTGATCCAAACGCTAAGTCCAGTCCCAGAATCAATGAGAAAGCGCCGCTGAGAGCAGGGCGACAATCTCATGCCGCAAGGTTTAAAGTTAAGTCCAAAACGGCGAGGGTGGTGTTGCCGGCAGGCCGGGGAACCTACCCACATGCCTGCGGCTATTAAATGGAGCGGAGAGTCAGATAATTAGCCGGGCTCCCAAAGGAAGGAAACTGTCAATGACAGCCTGCCTGAGGCAGCAGGCAGACTCACCCCCGGCAAATCAAGCGATTAGAAGAAAATTGATGAAAATAATGTAGAAAAACTTGAAGAATCCAAAGCTTCAGGAACAAAGTTTAGTAGATTAACAGAAAAAAATTCAGACAGTGTCACAGGCTCAACTGAGTGAACTAAACTGGGACTCTGCTGAGCAAGTGGGTGTGTCTGAAGAGAAAGTTTTAAAGGAACACACTCAGTGTAGGCTACCCAACTACCGAACTACCCGAAGCTTTGGATTCTCCAAGCTGCGCGTTGGAGAATGTCTTTTTCATATGTACATGAACATGTCATGGAGATGTAGTTTGTTGTCAAAAGGAGCTAAGGAGGTAAAAGGAAAGTGGATGTCCTAACTTTGTATCTACTACCATTATTAGTATCTTGTGGAGAAGGGATTTGCTTAAAAATAACAGCTGTAGAATGTATACTTATATTTATTTTAAAGGTCTGGTAAGAAAACCTCATTTAAATAGTTGTACAAAGATCCTATGGAACTCCTGACTAACTCTGCTCCATTTTTATTAATATGTATGAGGCTGATCTTGAGTTTTGCCATCAAGACTTCCCATATTATCTACACATGGAAGTAGCAAACAACAGAAAGTTGTAGGAGAAAAAGAAAAACTGACTTTTTAAGAATAATTATCTATAACTGTGGAACATGATAAACCATTGATTGTACCTTCCCAACATTTAAATGGCAGTTTCACTTTAAAATAACAAAGGAAACATTTATTAAATACTTGTAGAATGTTCTCACTTTTATTTAAAATTAAATTCGAAACAATTTTTGCCTTAACCCTGTCCACTCTGCCATCCACATTCCCAATATAACCCTCAGCCTGAAATGACTGCACATCACTGTGCTAGCCTAAACTGGGCTTATGCCATGAAGAAGGATAATGTTGTATCATTTTTTTAAAAAAAATATTTTTATCCCATTTTTCATTTCTATCCAACTCAAGATAGTGAACATACCAATAAGCCTTAAGAACCTCCTGTTTTCCCTACAACAATTAACCTGTGAGGTGAGTTGGGCCGAGAATATGACTGGCCCAAGGTCACCCAACTGGCTTTCATACCTAAAGCGGGAATACAACTCAAGGTCTTCTAATTTGTAGGCCAACACCTTAACCACTATAAGAAATTGGCTCTATATCTATAACAAGTGTATAATATGTACCAAAGTCAACTGATAAGCCTCAAGAGCTATACTTACCCAGGTGGCTGAGGGCATCCTTGTCCCAGGGCCAGGTGCCAGCACCAGCTAGCTCTTCTTGCACGGAGCTGGCAAAATAGATATTGACAAAGTGTGTGCTGTTCAGCTGAAGGACCTCCTTAAGTTCCTTCATGCTCATATAGGCCCTGCAGAGTTGGTAGAGGAAAGAGGTAAAAGTTAATAACTAAATAGATAAATCCCAATAAAATTTAGTTCCATTTAAATTGAACATCTTCATGAGTGGGACACATGTGCTGCATATAGGCTGATCCATATTTAAACTCCAACATTTAAAGGGAATTCAAGCAAAAGTTACAGGCTGGAAAAATCTCTTTGTGAGTTTGGGAAAAGCTGGGGCCAGTCAGAATAAACAACAGTGGACTGATACATCTTTACATTACAGTTTGGGTGTTTTTTAGATCTATGTGGTTCTATGGTTCAGAGAATTATCTTTTCTTAATGCAGACCCAGGGGCATCCAAACAATCCCTTGATTCAGCAGTGGCTTGAAATAAAATATCATGCACAATATAGCATTAGAGCAACAAATCAAAATGTTACAACAGAAGTAGGATAATATTAATTTTGTTACATCAAGGCTCCAGCTATTTGTGCCAAAGCCTGGCCACAATCTCTTCCCTTCTGATTTTGAGTTTCCAAGTAGGACCTTTTTCATGTCTCTGGTAGACCCTATTTGGATTGAGCTCCATCTTTTCTATCCATTGCCTGAAAGATCCACAACAAACTTTTCTCTCTGTTTCTTTCATTTCATTACAAATCACTCTAAGACTTTTTAAATTATTACTCTATAATAGCAAAATAAAAATAAAAATTGAACAACTAGATGATGAAAAGTAGCATATTCCAGGCACAACCAATAAATACAACACAGATATGCAATCAGTAACCTTTTCACTTCATTTTAGACAATCAAGGCCTATGACATGTGCATCAATCAATAATTTCCTTAAAGTTCTGGTCTTTACATATATATGCCTACCCATCTTGTTTATTCAGTATAATTTTACCAAATAAGGTTAAAACATACAAGTTTACCATTGCTTCTATTATATAAAGGGAGAAGTGGGGACTCTCTAACATGGAACCTAATCAATTATTTCCAGATTTTCACAGCATATTTCCCCCATTTTCCAGCTCTTTTTCTTTTGTATCTCGTCAATGCATCCACAAGATCAAGTTAAGCCATCAATGGCAGAAGATTCATTTCCAAAAGTTTTTGGGGTTTGTTTTGATATTCTCTTACTCCCAATAAATAGTTAAATAATAATAATAATAATCCACAGCTTTTCAATGAAAGCTTTTCCTCTGTTTTACATCTCTTCTTTTCAACTTGAGAAGTTAAAATTTCTATCATTGTTAAAAAGAAACAGAAGCCTCACTGCTCATCTCCCATTCTAGTATCAGGTTTCAGCTTCTGTGCAACCACAGGTTTGCAATCTACCAGAAACAGCAAAAGGGGAAAAAGAAGAATGAGAGCAGAATGAACTGAAATACAATTGAGCAAATAAAAATAATGCAAACACTTCTGATAAGCAACAGCAATAATACTCTTGACAATAGAGGAGGGGAATCGTAACTTGCTTTTTATTAACTACAGCAGGTTACCAGGGCTGCTTTCAATCTTCCTACTAGCAGTGTTTGAGCCAGATTGATGTAGCAATTAAGGCACCAGACTAGAAACTGGGAGGAGACTGTAAGGTCTAGTCCCACTTTAGGCACAAAGCCAGCTCAGTGACCTTGGAAGCCTGTCCCCCTCTCTCAGCTCTAGGAAGCAAGCATGGGCAAACCACTTCTAAAAAAACTTTACCAAGAAAACTCTAGGGACTAGTCCCGGCATTGCCAGAAGTCAAACACTAACTCAAATATATGTGTGTACATGTATGTTTGTGGCAGTGGTGGGTTTCAATTTTTTTTACTACTAGTTCTGTGGGTGTGGCTTGGTGGGCGTGGTGTGGCTTGGTGGGTGTGGCTTGGTGGACATGGCAGGGAAAGAATACTGTAAAATCTCCATTCCCTCTCCAATCCAGGGAAAGGTTACTGCAAAATCCCCATTTCCTCCCAATCAGCTGGGACTTGTGAGGCAGAGAATAGATGGGGGTGGGGCCAGTTAGAATTTTTACTACCGGTTCTCTGAACTACTCGAAGTTTCCGCTACCAGTTCTCCAGAACTGGTCAGAACCTGCTGTGTGAACATACACAGAACCTGTTGTGTGTACATGCACACAGACAGACACACTAACTTTATTAAGGCAGTACCTTCACATATAGATTTCAACATGGGAGTGAAGAGCCTTTTTCTCTCTAAGGCTCTTGAGTCTGCAGTAGATAGTCTTTGTCTACGTGCAGAGCTTAAGGTATGAAATCTCACAGGGTGCCAGGATACAAGCAAACTTTCACATGTACACTGCAGACAAAAGTTGTATCATGAATAACTAGCTTCTCACCAACTACTCAGCCCAATATAGGGAACAGAAAAGCTGCTTCCTGCTGCTTTCAACTAGAGATTTCTGCACAAACCTTTTATGTGAACAGGGCTCCAATTAGAGGGATTTTAATGCCTACGATACATCCCATCCCCTCTTTCCTCTTCTTTGCCCATATTACTGGGCCACAATTTTTTTTAAAAAAGTTTTGCTTCCTGAAAATTTTTTGGTGATTATGATAGACTCCTTCAAATAGAACACAAATATAATTCCAGAATGGCTGTATCATGTAGGAATCTTGAAAATATAAAATTAACTTTTAATGACTATAAAATATTTAATTGCATAATGTTTCTGGCATGCTGCATGAGTTCAACAGGGCCCAAAATGTTGATTGTTATTTGTATTCAATATCCACTGTATCTTGCTGCAGTCTCCAACAATAATCAGCCAGCACTGATGAATTCCACTTGTCCTGATACTGTTTTTAGATTGTGGCAGTATCCTGGTGAAACCTTTCACCATGTTCATCACTGACTGCATCTAGATTTTTGGAAAAGAAGTCCAAGTGTAAATGCAAAAAATAATTCTTCAGTGGTGTTGTATGCTTTAAGAGGTTTATCAGCCAGCTAAATGTAGTTTGGTACTTTGTTGTTGCCAAGAATATTCTCAACGACATCCTTGAATGCTTTGCAGGTGGTTTTCTCTGACCTAACCAACAAATCTTTAAACCATTTGTCTTTAACAATGGACAGTATCTGATCTTATGCCTTCCTTAATCTTGGAATCAGTTAATCTTGGAAACATCTGTCTCAAATAAGAAAAACCTTCACCTGCCTTGTCCATTATTTTCACAAAATTTTTCATCAGTCCAAGTTTTATGTGAAGTGGAAGCCAAAATATATTGAGTCAATAAGTAGTTCACATGCCACATTTTCTGGCTCTAGAGCCAAATTCTTTCAAAGTGACCATTTCATTTTAATGTAATTAAATAATTACATAATTCACATATGTAACTATGTTATTGGTTATCAGCGAAAAATCCATAAAATACACCCTTAAGGGCTTCATGTGGACCTATTGACCACACGAAGTCCTTATAAACAGAGGAACACTGACACTGACATTTCCTAAACTTAGCTGAAAATGTTACCTAGCTAGGTAACAAATATTTGGAAACCAACCTACAAGCTCAGAGAATGAACCTCTACCGTCATATACCTAAACATTTTCAGGAAGCAAAATCTTTGTTATCTGATAGAAACTATGGAGAAATTATCAAGGAGATATATGTGAATGGAGCAAATGCAGGGTCAAAATACTTTTGGCTTGTCCATTTACAGTTTTGACCTCAAGATCTCATAGGTCAAAAGAATATAGTACAAGGGCTATGTAGAAAGATCATAATGAACCCATAACCATTGCTGAAAACTAAATCAATGTATAATAATTTCATTTCATCCATTATGGAACTCACTCTCCGAATGGCAAACATTCGGTCATTCTATGCACAATGACAAGTCTTGGTTTTTTAGACTCTCAACAAACATTTGCTAAGTTCTAAGTCCTTCAAGTTCACAGGCTAACATTTTTATCTATCAGAAATAGAAATCTTGTCAGATAAAATTAAATAAAATATACCCAATGCACAGATCAATACAGAATACAAAGCATTAATTTCAAAAATCAAAAGGGCCCAATCTCTGTAAATCTATCATTTTGTCAGTCTCAATATGTGGCAGACTTGATGAACACCACTGCTATCGTTTCTTTGGGAATTATTTTTTTTAAAATAGGCATACTTGCTTATCACAAAGTTAATGTAACATCTGGTTTGGCTCTGAATTAAATTGTGGAACTGGGTGTGATCTCTCATCAGAGTGAATTTAGCAATCCTGGTGATGAAAGCTTATGAAATGGGATCTGGCAAGAATTTCAGCTCAATTCTTTGGTCACTTATTAACTTATTTTCGATGAAATAATTATAAAATGGAGAATGACAAGACATACTGATCTTGCCTTCTAATCCAAAAATCTTTCCCATGTCTAAAACAGTATATAATAAGAGGGAGCTCAAAGCATTTTTATTGCTATAGAAAGATTACCCATTCTTCACGGATGAATGGAAGACAAGCAAAACAAAAGAAATGTCTCTCTGTCTTATTCCTACTCAGTAGTTGTTAACTCCTACATATTCTGAATAAAATTAATAAAATAACCAGTGGCAAAATAAATAGGACTGTTCAAAACAGGCTTTACAGAATAAGAAACTCCCCATCGGGATTATGCTCTTTTCTGGCAATTTCTCACCTATGTGAGGTGATTTTGTCAAGGGATTCACTAGGGCTCAAAAAATTGTTTAATTAACTGGCTCCTTGAAAAAATGATGCTAACTAAATTATTTTTAATTAAGAGGAAATAAAAGAATTTTTAGTACAGTATAGCTATTTTAGTCATTGGGACTCAGGTGCCATATCAATTTATTATCATAGTTGGTTGCACAGTCAGCTGATGTATAGACAGGAATTGGTCTTTTTATCCACCTATCTAGTCATTTCCAAGAACAACAAGATGCTGTTATTTGATGATGTTAAATGTATCTACAAAAATTACACAAATGCATGCATTTATACACACATGCAAAAAAGTTGCTAGAAATTTGCTTGAAAAATCCACGCTCAATAAAGTATATTCTGAGATAAA